AAACCACAATCTTGACCAATCCTCGCACCACTCCTCTTGGAGTCTACCAGAGCTAAAGCAGTCGAGTGGCGGGATTTACTACGCATAAGTACACGGAAGATCTGGAACCTCTACCTTACAATCAAGAAGCGAGCTCAAAGAAATCACTGGTTTATACTAGCTCGTAATCAGGATATTGGATATTGGATTTACCATGAAAAGGTATTATCGACGCATGGGCTAGAAATAATTTCAAATTATTGTAAGCTTGGATAATTATTGACAATCAGAAATAATCGCAGTTATATCTCAAGCTGAAGTAAAGCTAGGAAGTTCCTAACTAACGCTTACTTCCTATAGTGAGCAAACTCCGAGTTGATACTCAAATGACTTGGTATTCCGTACAAATAGCTAGCATTGCCTTCGATCGTAGTGAAGAAACTTTGGGACAGACTGCAGATAACTGTTCCACCTTCTTCAATGTTACCGAAGATTTTACCCGGAAATTTCTGCGGCACTGCATGTGCGCCCGAAGAAAATAGCGACACAGGACTGCAATCGGAGATATTTGCTTCTTTTGGCATTATCGGCAGTAGCTTAGAGCCTAATGTGTGCACGGAATCTAATGCACTCTATGAAGAAATGTGACTATCTCTCATCAATTTCCGTGTGGTTACATTTAACTACCAGTAATAAGGAGCGGTGCTGTCGTAAATAGAAGTATTTCATGGTATTTTATTGATCAAAAAGTAGCCACGAATTACTGACTAACATGTTTATATGTTTTAACTCTTAGAAATTTTGCATATGTATTATTACATTTAGTTATTCTGGTTATTCTGCATTTCCCGTTTTCAGGATACTTTCCGTTTATTCTGTCGTTATCAGGCATAGTTAATATTTCACCTCTTTCGAGGAGCAGATCTATGCAGTCATTTATTATACATGCTGGACAATGAACGCAGACAGCCTAGTGTTTTGCGATAAAATACCGTTCAAGATATTACCCGGACTAGTTTGTTTCGGCAGGTTGCTTGACGATCGTCTACTTACTGTATTCGTTACAGTATCAGAAAAGGTAATTTTTACAGTAGATTATTTCTTGTCTGCTTTTTAAGGTGTGCAGGTTAAATTTTATAGAAAGTGTTAGTTATCCATATTAAAATGCTCGGAATTTTATGTGTATTGAAAGGTTGTATGATATTTTATTATTTGCTGGAAACATACAAAGTTTCAGAGGGGCTATTTAAAAATACTTGTGTAGAGTTTAGTTTACATTGTATTTATTATCCCTGCCATCGCATTACTTTTTATTTTAGTGTCATTTTACTTATTGTATTTCCTATTGTTCCTTCTTTGCAAAATGAAAAACACTTCAATTGTCATAATTCTCTGTGAGATTTGAAGTTCACTTGTCTGTTCATCTGAAAAAGTGGTCAGAGTAATAGTATAAGATGGTAACAAGAGCCCCACTTAAAAGCAATAATAACGTAATTAATTTCAAGACTTGTGGTTTGTATACAAGCTGGCATAGCAGTTTAGCATAAGAACGAGATTTTCAAGAGTTAGTTTGATTTGATTCATGTTTGATCGTGGATTGATTTTGGCTGGAGGGCCATTAGAAACCAGGGAGTAGTAGACAGGTGTCTTGTACTAGTTTGGGACTCTTCAACAGTACACACTAACGACCCCACCCGGGACCGAACCTAAGTCCTTCAGACTAAGAGGCGAAGCTCATTGAGCATTCAACCGCTTAGGTAGGAACCTAATGACTCACGAATTCTAACTTCTATCAATTCATGATTTTAGGGCAACCACAAGCCAGTGTGTTCGGCGAGTATTTGTATTCACACCCGACCTGTAGGATGAAGTTGCTTGAAGTTCTGGTGGGAAACGTGACTCGTGAAGAGTCCTAAACCAGGGTGAAGCAACTGTTCATTAGTCCCTTGTTTTCGATGGTGCTCTAACTGACATCGACCTGTGATGAAACTTGAAACAGAAACAGAATGCTGACAACGTGATAATATATAAGCTATTAAATGACTAAATTATTTGATGTGGTACATACTCAGAGTGTTGCCTGTTAATGATATTCAGAACAAAGTTTTTCTTCCATTCGAAAAAATCCTTGGTATGATTATGGGTAAAATTTCCGAACCTAGTGCGTTTACTTGTTTTCAGAACGGTAGGTCGAATCGAGTAACCAACATCATTCTGCTTCAACCAGCTAATATTTTGTCATAGAAACCATAACTGACTTCGACTTAAACAGACCTCTATGTTGATGTTCAAAGTCATGAATATCTACTAAAATTTGTTGCACCATCTTTTTTATCAATTATGATAACTGCTTACAATTCAACTTGTCAAACACTAACTACGGTTTCTTAGCTTAGTTTTATTCGAAGTTAGATGTTTAGCCAAATAAAATGAAACCAAATATTCACTGCCTTCTCACGTATACTGATTATTTTAGTGATTTTAATTATGAGAAAGATTATTTTCATTCTAACAGTTTTCGCAATTCACATGCCGACTTTTTAAGTGAGTATTTTACTACATTTAGTGGCAAAAATTAATTCATTAATTAGAATGTAGTCCTCTACATAAAGTTAATCAGTTAGTCAACTATCGGAAAGTGCTAAACAATGATCGGAAGTTTCACCTTGATTCTGATACCTTATAACAACTGGTACGTATGATCCTGTGCATGACTGAATTGAGCACTGTCAGGTTTGAAGACCGGCATGTTAATCCTCAGAAAGCGGGTTGGAAAGCATTAGTGCATTATCTTCACCTTCAAGATTGGTGTTAGGAAAATTAATCACCTATTGCTCTGTACTAGATGGTGACACATAGAGAAATAGTATTAATCGTAAATCTTGAACCAGTCAGTTCCGACTGAAGAGATGATTGGCTATTTATGCATATCAAGAATCCCTATCTTAGTCTTGACCAAAGTGAAGTCATGACTTTTCATAGATAGTAAGTTCAAAATTGAGAAGAAAACTTTATGACGCTTCATTTGTGAAGGATACTTTAATTCATATTGGTTCATGTAAAAATTTACCTTGAATACAGTCAAATTTGTACAATTATATATTTTGTTTTTTGATTAATAGCTTTTAAATCCAATTATGTACAACAAGTAATCTTTAAGTACGAATAATCACAATATTATTCCTATATACATTCTCTTAATTGCTAAAATAAAAACTTTACTACATTCTGCTAATTCATTCTTTTAGGTATACATTTATAATCCTAAATTTTATCATTCTGCTGATGGAATCACAAAGGTCTTGTCACAAGGTAAGCTTAAAAGAAACTCTTCAAAAGTTTATTATTTTCAACGAATTTATCATCAAGCTGTACAATCGTATATATATGGTTTTTAAGAAGTTATATCTGGTGAGGGAATTGAATCATATCGTGGAAAATACCCATTGGAACATTAGATTAAGAAGAAGAAGAAGTTCATCAAAGATATCTTTTAGGCGATTTCATTTTCAAAAGCTGTACAATCGCATTTAAATACATAATTTTACATGGGGACAATTCTTGTTTAATTCTACATAATTATGACGGCGAATAAAAGGTGATAATTATTTCCAACTAGATATGGTTTTACGAGAGGCTTAGAAACAAAATTACGCAGGATGAGAACGGATATGAGCATGAAAACAAAACTGAAATAATAATTTTCAGCTTGAGATGGGAATCAGGAGGTGCGAATATAGATTACAAGAGCCTTAGAAGCAAAACTACATGGGATTTAGCAAATTACGGGTGTGCAGAAAATGAGCATGGAAACAAAAATTGATATAACAGTTTTAACTTAAAATGGAAGTTAGGAGGTGTAAAGATAGATTACTAGAGCCTTAAAAACACAAAAAATTGCACAGGATTAAGATATAATTGTGAATTTTTTTTAAACGAATTATAAATGTGAACAGGAAAAGCATGGAAACAAACTTAAAATAACTATTTTTATAACTGGAGAAAAAAATGGGGTGAATCGAATGAAGACTGAGGGAACGAAAAAGGATCAAAAACAAAAACGGAAGCTAAGGTAACATACCAAACTAAGCCCATGGTAGTTGTAGAGGTTGGACTAATTTCTTTAGTTTCGTAAAACCATATCTAGTTGGAAATAATTATCACCTTTTATTCGCCGTCATAATTATGTAGAATCAAACAAGAATTGTCCCCATGTAAAATTATGTATTTAAATGCGATTGTACAGCTTTTGAAAACGAAATCGCCTAAAAGATATCTTTGATGAACTTCTTCTTCTCAATTGAATCATAGGTGTGAGTGCATAAAATAATAATAATAATAGTACGAAATGCAGTTAAAACTAAAATGTTTGTGATTATAATCATAGTTAAATGTCAAGTGGCAAAACATCTCTGAGAATAGACTTTACTAATCGACCATTACTTTTCAATAACCTGAAGGACAAGATCCCGCTGTTGACCAACTCTATGTGTGTGGAGCTAGGTATATCGGTCGTTCGACGCGAGTTTTGTCCAAGAGGGTGCAAGAACACTATCCTGCATGGTTACGAAAAGGTGAAAGTGGAGCAATAAGAAGTGCGATCATTGAACATCTGGTCGATAATGATCACCCTATCTCTATAGCCTCCGCCTTTAAAGTCATCTATAAGGCAAAGAGTAATTTACCCAAATCCCTACGTACCCGACTCATCTGTATTGCTGAAGCCATCTTTGGCTATCGAAACAGAAAAGCCAGATCTCTGTGCACAGAAAAAGTTCGTTCAACCCCTCCAACTTTCATGGTCTTAATCCCTCTATGCTAAAGTATGGTAATCCCCAATCATATTTTGGCTCTACCAGTTTTTCATTTTGTCTATTCAATTTGTATTCTCTTCTTTTACTAAGTCAACTGTTACTATTACTATTCTCACTTTGAACTGTCCCCGGTATTATTTCACTTGTTCCACTTGTCATTCTAAATCAATTCTTTTTTACAACGTTAAATTCTATGCTATTAAATTTCACACAATATTACGTAACGTTTTTATTTTTTCGATTTGTCTACTAATCCTATAATTGCACACTCTTTTTCAAGTTCTATCCATCCTATGAATTATTCTATATATGACATTAATTGTTTTGCCACTTGACATTTAATTACGATTATAATCACAAACATTTTAGTTTTAATTGCATTTCATACTATTATTATTATTTTGTGCATTCACACCTATGATTCAATTCCCACACCGGATATAACTTCTTAAAAATCATTCATATATACGATTGTACAACTTGATGATAAATTCGTTGAAAAGAGTCTCTTCGCTGAATCATTTGTTTTGATTTTCTGTATGTTACAGTGGGAATTTCCCATAAGTTTATTATTTATCAATTATTCTTATTATATTTTATTACTTCTTTTTATAGATTTTATCAAATGCAGTACAATTCATTCCATATGTGCAGTTGACGCAGGAAAATTTGAACAAATCTCAGATAACCATGATCTCTTAATAATAGGATCAAAAACTGGAGTATTACTTTACGATCCAAAAAATAATATAGATATATTTTATAAAGAGGTAATGAAGTATATTAGTGGTTGCTGGATTTTCATTATTTCTTTTCTAGTTAAAAAATGATGGTGTAAATACAATTGTGTATAAGCATTTTGAACAACAGGAACAGCAACAACAACGACAACGACAACTAAGTCATCAGAAATATAAAGACTCTGATGTTATCCTTGTTGGTGGCAATTGTACATTGACTATATTGAATTATTCAGGTTTGGAGTTATTTTGGACTGTAACTGGCGAGGCAATATCTTCACTGACATGTTTATCATATGAAAATACTGAAGAATATTTTAATGATATTATAATCGGTTCTGAAGACTACAGTATACGTGTATTTCGCGGTGATTTAATTGTTCATGAAATATCTGAAACAGACGTAAGATTATTGATATCAATATAAAGTTTATGAAATGTGAACTGACTAGAATTATGGCTTAGACAAAAATAACATAGAATTAATTATTTGGGAAACTACTAAGGTTCAATTGATTCCCACTGAATCATGGTATATCCTTAGAATTCCATTATGATATGATAGAGAAGATTTGTAGCTCAGGTGGATGATTTTGATATGGCTGTGTTCTCTGAGCTGGATAGTTAATTTGCGAAGCTTTCATCGCCCTACTAGGCGACATCTTCAGCGCATACTTCAATTTGAAGTGAGTTTTCAGATTTCTCCACGAGTTTATTAATCATCTCTCCTGGTGACCTTGGACGTGATTGGTTGTTTTTGTGTGTTTTCACACCTTCTGCGTTACTTGTATTGTAATTCATTGTTTCTTTGACTTGAACTCTGACCCTTTGTGTGTGACGTTTCTTTCTTATCGGTTGATAAATTTTGTTTATCTCGGTGTGTCTATTGATTGATGATTCACTGGAATGCCAAGCTTCTAAAAATTCTCTAGCATTCTTGTTGTTTCCTCTGTATAATATTTGAACGTTGTCCCAGTCGAATTGATGTCCGTGGTTGTCTGTATGTAGTGATATGAGGGAGTGGATATCATGTCTTTTGACAGCTAGCTTATATTCGTGGATACGAAGACGAAGGGGACGTCCTCTTTGGCCGATGTAGTGTTTTTCGCAGTTGATGTAATCTATTGACGTCGTACACAAACCAACAAAACCACTTCACTCAGTTCTATGTCAACCAAAAGACTCAACAACGAAAGAAGATAAAACTACAATCATCTAAAAAATAAATTGAAACAACTGCGAGAAACACTACATCGGCCAAAGTGGACGTCCCCTTCGTCTTCGTATCCACGAATATAAGCTAGCTGTCAAAAGACATGATATCCACTCCCTCATATCACTACATACAGACAACCACGGACATCAATTCGACTGGGACAACGTTCAAATATTATACAGAGGAAACAACAAGAATGCTAGAGAATTTTTAGAAGCTTGGCATTCCTGTGAATCATCAATCAATAGACACATCGAGATAAACAAAATTTATCAACCGATAAGAAAGAAACGTCACACACAAAGGGTCAGAGTTCAAGTCAAAGAAACAATGAATTACAATACAAGTAACGCAGAAGGTGTGAAAACACACAAAAACAACCAATCACGTCCAAGGTCACCGGGAGAGATGATTAATAAACTCGTGGAGAAATCTGAAAACTCACTTCAAATTGAAGTATGCGCTGAAGATGTCGCCTAGTAGGGCGATGAAAGCTTCGCAAATTAACTATCCAGCTCAGAGAACACAACCATATCAAATTCCCTTATGGTTAAAAATTTATTTTAATAAAGTTTCACAGTGTTATACAGTAATATTCACTGATGACGTTTCAGATTACTGTATAACACTGTGAAAATTTATCAAAACAAAATTTAAACCATAATGGAATTATACTCTACCGTAGTGCACAAGTTCTATTCTTATATCAAATTTTGAGAAAGTGACAAAACAGGGAGGACAAACCGGCTTACATATGCCAAACAAGTGCCTACCAACTAGTGTTTTTTTCGTGATTAAGTGGAATGGTAGAAACTGCCAGATATGTGACTAGTTTATCAAGTTATCATCTATTGGTCTGAATCATTTCACAGTTAATACAAGAGATCCGATTAGAGTTTCAAGGTATTATGAATTAGTTTTTTTGAAGATGGATTCGCTTTTGACTTGACAGAAATCCTGAGTATTCGATTGTCTAATCAACGTCTGCTTGTTAATTATTGTAACATTTCTGTACTAGTATTGATATTTTTAGCTTGACTCAACAAGGATGGTTCTTTTAGAGTGAAACTGCAAAGTGATTAGTCATTTAAGGTCGAAATAACTTGGCAATATGTGGTTAATCTTATATGACGTATGTTACCCAAGTGTACAAGTTCTTACACAGTATGAGGTTGGTTGTTGTGTGACTTATAAAAGTATGAGTGGGACTCAAATTTGTTAAAAATGCAGATAGAATGAAGACTTTCGTTCTTTCACCATTTTTCTATTCTTACTACTGTTTTGTTTGATAGAACTACCATTAAAACAATGCAGAAGTTAAGCATAGAGCACCCTACATAATATTAGTATAACCATCTACGGAGTGATACGCTTTCATTGCTAGAGCAGGGTAAAGCATTTGTCATGAATGCATTTTCCTTATAAACCTCAAATGTTTTGTTAGCCAGTATAAAAACTAAGTTACAAGAGGTCTAAGGATAGTTGAATCGTGAAATGACACCAATTCACGGAGTTCTTGGTTTTTGGTATGAGCAGTATAGTGAAGTATTTGTCACCTCACTTCAGCCCCATGACAGTGGGAATTTATGATGACAACCTTCAGGTAAACGTGTATCAGAATCCATCTTAGTGACTTCATTTTAATTGTATCCTGTCTTCATTATGCTTTTAATAATTTAGCTTACTTTTCTTAACAGGTTGTAACTAAACTTGTTTCACTTGGTGGAGAATACTTTGGTTATGGCTTAAATAACGGTACGATTGGTGTATACAATAGAACAAGTCGTGTATGGCGCATTAAAGTATGTGACTACAGTATAATGAATCATCATTATTATGTACAATGAAAGTGTTCACAGCTTTGTCACCATTTTTCTCTTTCTAAATATTGACTGATTATAGTAGCGATAATTTTCATCGGAGTATGGAACTACTGGACTTTTTATTCTCAAAACAATGTGTATAACACTTGACGAATGAGGATTTAGTTGTTGATTAACTATTAGGTTTAATGTATTGACACAAACTTTTTTGTAAGAGTAGTGCTTCCATGATCTGGGTGATAGTTTCTATCACTGGGATCTAACACGTGGGTTAAATTTATTTTGAACTCGTCAGATGATTATATTTGTATCTTCACAGAGTGGAATTTACGAGTTAATCTGAGCAAGGCAGTATTTAGTTGATCAATATATCCACATAGACGTACTATTAAGTTAAAATCAACCGGTCTGCATTAACAAAAAGTTGTTTCAACCAATCAGATTTACTTATTCTCTATTCCTTACAAGATAGTCAATCAATCAGGTTAAACAAACTACTACCTAATTAAAACAAAAGATTTCAGTTATTTAAATCAGTCCAACCTTCATCATTTGATTCACACAAGAAAGCCTACTCAACAACAACAACAACCACAAAGTGTTTTATTCAAACGAGGGAAATAGACAGATAGTTTCACACTACACTAATCTGGGAATTTTGTAATACGGATACCAATCAATAAAGTTTGAAATACTCCCATACATGCATATAGTAGTCAAATTTCTGCTGATGATGATACTTAGTACAAAGATTTAACGCCTGTTAATCAGAATCTCAGCTAGGAGAAAAATTAAAATTAGATGTGCGAATAACAAGTTATAAATATTCTTGACCGTATTGAAAGTTTATTTGCCTCATGTGTACAATATCCCAACAAAATTCTTTGAGTTGTTCAAAGTAATATGAGTTCATAAAGAAATATATCTTAAATTAAGGTAAATTCTTGCAAACTAAACAATTTAGTATCAACATAAGGACTACCTGTGAAACAGATCTGTCGAAATTCCGATTGAAAATGTAGCCAGCCAGGCTAACTTGGTTGGAAATGACAACAGTTAATTACTCACTGATGATATCATGATAAAAACGGTCTATATCAAAAACTGGTGGACTTTTGAAATCATACATTACTGGATACTAATACATTGACTACTTTCAGATTTCTTGAAATTTAGTCGGTGACACAGCGGTTAGGACTCTCGCCGACCATGCACATGGTCTGTGGTTCGATCCCTGGCCGACGCACTCCTTTACCTCACTAATTCAGTAATAAAACCGATAAAGAGGGGAAGTTAGGCATGAGGTTAGCAACCCTATCCCGTAAAAATAGACACTACTGCTACAGAAGCTTCAAGCCTCTAGCTTGAAGGAATTACATATATATATATATATATATATATGACACAACTTGTGCCAAGTAACAATAAAACCAAGAAAACAGATGTGATTGTTTAACAAACTTATCTATCTGCTCAGAAGGAAGAGAATAAAATTTAACTGAGGTTTTTAGTCATATATTACTTTATTCACTTAAAAAGTAGTAAACAAGTGCAAGTATGAAAATTTACTTTAGATTAATACACATTTCTTTGTATTGCAATTTTTTATTTATATGCTCATTTGAAATTTAGTCTAAAAATAAACCAATCTGCTTCACTGCCCATGATGTAAACAACGATGGATATGCAGAACTGATATGTGGCTGGAACAATGGTAAAGTAAGTCTAGTTAAATTCATAATCCTACTAATTAACGTCTAAGTTTTACCATGCATTATTTTTCTTTTATTTTCACATTTTATAAAAGTGGATCCATCACGCCGCTTCTTTATTCATATTTGTAATTTAACGTTGATATATCTGGACCGAATTGATTAAGTTCATTTTAGCATATCAGCCTTTAAAACGAATGACTCGATATTACCATAAGTTATTTTAGTAGTCTGACTGACTGAATTTCAGCATAGAACTATGTAGAGAAGTACAGAAGTTCAAGTTGCCACACTCCATGAAGCACACAAAGACAGAAAAAAAAGAAATAAAAAAGGGATTCAAAAGGACCATAATAAGCAGCTATATGAAGGAGAAAGAATAGGAACATGGAAAAACATTAGGGTTTAATTGATATGGGATATCACAAAGAGTGAATGCATCTGCGCTACAGTGAACGACTTTAAGCTATATCTCGAATGATCTCCAACCATTGGTTCTTAGTATCTCGAGGATCAAAGCCAGACAACTTACGCCTTCCCATGCGGCTCAAACTAACTGTCAAACATTTCATGGATTGATCCCAGGTTTTGGTTTGATCACCTCTAACTCTCTTCCAACCTGTTGCTATATCAGCTAATATTGCCCGTCAGCCAAGTCGATGGCTAGGCATGCATGACACTTACTCTAGCTATGTCAATCAAAGCACCTTGATAACCTAATTGACTGACTTGGCCTCCTTACTTAACACTCTTCGTCTAACCTCAATATTACTGACCATATTATACCACTTAACACGGGAGATGGAGTTCAGACACCTATGTTCAAACATAGCTCGCCCTTCCATATCTTCCGCTTTCAATAGCCATGTCTCTCAGTCATAAAAGAGAACAGAATGAACTACTGAGCAACAAACACATCCTTTGACCGACAGCTGGATATCACGTCTACGCCAGGGATGACGTAGTGGCTAGCACTGGAATCCAGGAGGTATGTTTCATTCTATTTGGGACTCCTTTGCTGCTCCATTTAAAGGAAATGTTTAGTTTATTCATCTAAACCAAGTGTTTTACATGTTATTTAGGAGAAGATAAGTTGAAATGAAAATCTACAAATCAAAAACAATCACTTCTAACTTTCGTCTTAAGGAATACATGTACAAAGAATTGTTTTATGGTTAGTGTGAGTTCCGTTGTGTCGTTTACAACCAGCGGATGTTATAATTATTGAGTGGTTTTCTGATTGTCAATCAGAGTCTGCTTCATTTATTCCGATCCAGTTCACTTAGAAATCATAATTATACCTAGCGCAAACATTTTGTAGGGAAATTCATTATATGAACTTAAACACTGCATCTACTTGTGTTCAATATTTCTAATACGAACAAATATTCCTTGGAGTTTTAAAAAAACGTCGACCGAGTGGCCATCTTGACGACGACGTTGAAACAATACTGAATTAACACTAGAATGACTAAACAGTCTGAAGAAAATCATGGGTGTCAAAGAAATGGTCGCAAACCAGTTAGGTCTTAAAGCCTATAAATGACAGAACTTTAATATATCTTCGACGTATATTTCATATAATAAGAGTAAAAATAATGAGCGTTACACATCATGACACTAATTGTTTCACTTTCAAGGGAACTTGTTTTTGCTAACCTCAAAACAATTCTCAAATAAATTAGGTCTATTCATGTCAGAATCACTCCAGTTAATATGACCTGTCCTATCTACTAGATTTTGAAAAGATTCAAGAAATCCACAGCAAAACTTAACTAATTGCATCGAATCAAGTTGCCATACTTTGAAGAAGCAGAAATAAAAGCAAAGGAAGGAAATTTAATGAAGCTGACTGAAATGGAGGGTGTATGAAAGAGGTAATAATTAGCTGACGATTGGTGAGGATTTTCAAAATCTTTGGAATCTTAAAAACGACTTTCTATCAATAACCAACACTATAACCCAAACCTCATTATTATTACTGACTATATCACACTAACTAACATGAGACTGAACGGAAATATATTTGGTATTAATCCGCTAATCGCTTTACATCCACCTTCATAGCCGTAGAGTAGGACAGGGCAAGCTGTCATGCAGCACATACCTCCCTCCGATTGGGAAGAATATATCATGACCTTGCCAAAGATGGCACAGGTTGGTGAATGCCAAATGAACCTTGTGTATCCATTGTGAGATTCCATTTATTAAAGCTTATGCAACCCCCTCCAAATAAATGAATTTGTCAACACAGACAACCATCCCTCTCTTTAACTCAGCGGTAGATGCAGACCGATCCTATCTATGTTTCAAAACCTGTCGACGAGTAAAGATGTGATCAACAAACTCTTGTCCACGTCTGGGGCCTGTCGCGTTTTCTTGAGTTTGTTTATCACAAGCCCAACTCAGTCTTTGTAGAACCACTGGACCTAAGATCTTAGATGCAACATTAGTTTTAGTTATCACAGGAAGATTTACTTACCTTCTTATAAACTAGTAGTTTCATCGATTTATAGAGGTCTGACTAAGGTTCTTTCGATTCCTGTTTTGAGACCATTTTATATCTGTTACTGGGATCAAGTTAATGTAGGTCGTATTGTGAGGTGAAGGCGCTACTGATCAAAATTCATTGGTCTATGAAATCTACCTTCTACTGGTTTGTTATTCAACTGCAAAATGTTAGTTAGTTCGTGAGTAACCAGTCAAGTCTCCACAAACTCATTAATTTGAAAGTGCATTCATTATTTGATGCTGTAAATCAGTACGTTATCTTTTTTTAGGTTGACGCGCGTTTACGTTCGAATGGAGTGGTGGTATTTAAAATTCAATTAGGTGCTTGCGTAGCTGGGATGAATGTGGTAAGCATATCAATGAAGACAACAATAACACGTTTTTCGTCTCACTTTTATTCAGATATTATCGGCCAGTCACATGAAATAATGGCTTAGTCATCATTATTAATAATTTCCTTTATTTCAGTTACAAATTAGAGAGTACTTAGAATATTTTACGACTAACAAACCTTCATTTTTAACTTACGTAAGGGAGGTTGTAAGGTTATCATACTTTTGTAACTCTGATATTGAAGACAATTTATCTACATAATTTGGTCTATAAACATTTGTTCACCGATTTCCTAAGTGTATTTAAGTATTAGTTAAACTTCATTATGTTCATCCATAATGCTTCTCATGTTAAACATACATTGCTGTCTGAAGCTAATAAAAAGAACACAGACGTCAGCGAAGAGATATTTCTCAGTCAAACGGAGTGAAAATTACAAGTATTCTTGCCGATTTTAAGCGTTTACAT